CTTACAAAGGAGATGATAAAGTAAAAATGGTACGTTTACAAACCCTACGAAGCTAATTTGATATGTTGAAGATGAAGGAGTCGGAAAGTGTGGAAGAATATTTCAATCGGGTAATTGTCATTGTTAACCAATTGAAATTCAATGGAGAATTTGTAGAAGATAAAAGGGTTATTGAGAAGATTCTACAAAGCTTGACCAGAAAATTTGAAGCCACGGTGGTAGCCATAGAAGAAGCAAAGAATATAGAGAAAATGTCTATTGAAGGTTTGCTTGGATCTCTTCAATCCCATGAATTAAGAATGAAGCAATATGATTCGACACCACTTGAGGAAGCATTCCAAACTCAAGTGGCATTGTGTGGGAATTTCAAAGGTGGCCGTGGAAGAGGTTTTGGTAGAGGAAGAGGCTCTTTTGGTAGAGGAAGAGGCTCTTATGGTACTCGTGGAAGAGGCCATGCTGGTAGAGGAGAATCTACACAAAGTGATGGAGGTGAAGTTCAAGGTGAAACTCATGGTGATGGAGAAGGTGCACGTGGTCGTGGACATGGTTTCAGAGGAAGAGGAAGAAGCAACCTTGCCAATATCAAATGTCATTTTTGCAAAAGGTATGGGCACACTTATTGTTTTTGTTGGAAGAGACAGGAGAGTGAAGAGGCAAATACAGATTTGGTGCAAGAAACGGAAGTGGAGAAAAGTGAAGACACAATGTTTCTTACACATAGTAAGGAATATGGTGATTCAGGAGATGTGTGGTTTATTGATAGTGGTTGTAGTAATCACATGACTGGCAATAGAAGATTGTTTGTTACTTTGGATAACCCAATCCAAAGTGAAGTACGTACTGGAGATGACAACAAATTATTTGTGGAAGGAAAATGTGACATTTTAGTGCAAACCAGGAAGGGAGAAAAGAAGATATCAGATGTTTTCTATGTTTCAAATCTTAAGCATAATTTGCTTAGTGTTGGGCAACTAAATCAAAAGGGATATGTGTTGACATTTTCTTTTGACACTTGTACCATTAAAGACAAACATGGATTCTTGATTGCCAAGGTGAAGGTGACTCCAAATAAAATGTATCCCATGAAGATGATTTGCAGCTTGAATGGTTGTTTGAAAACTTCCATAGAGAATCATTCAAGATTATGGCATTGCAGATTTGGTCACTTGAGTTCCAAGACACTTTCTTATATGAGCCAGAAGAATATAGTTGATGGGCTTCCACATATTGAAGTTCAAGACAAGATCTGTGAAGCATGTGTTGCAGGAAA